GCGCCCGGGCCCTGTTGGCTGCCCCGCGCAGTCGCGGTCGTCCTCGTCATCGCCGCCGCCGCCCGCCAGGCCCTGTGTCGTCAGCTTCGTCTGGAGAGCGGCCCGGAGGCCCGAGACGGCGGCGGCCCCGTCCCAGGCCTCGGCCGCCGCGACCCCGAGCTCGGAAGCGGCCTGCGGGCTCCGGCAGTCGCGGGGAAGAGGAGGAAGAGGAGGGGGGGTGTGCGGACGACGGGGAGGCCGAGGAAGAGCCGGAGGAGGAGGAGGAAGAGGAGGAGGACTTGATCGATGGCTTCGCCATCGCCAGCTTCGCCAGCCTCGAGGCCTTGCAGGTGGGGCCTGAGGGGCCGGGTCCTCGGGGGCTTCCCAGGGGCAGCGGGGAGGGTACGGTGCCCGGTGGGTGGAGTTGAGGGGGAAGGTTGGCACCCCAAACCAGAGCAACCGGCTCCTCTGGCCAGGCCTCTGCCCCGCCCTGGGGTGGGAGGCGGTCGGGCCGGTCTCCGGGGACCGGCGGTGGTCCGTGGGGTCCGGAAGCTGGCGGCCGCTGAGCCCCCGAGCCGCTGGGGGAGCCTGGTCGCCCCCAGACGGCCGGAGCCTTCCTTTCTCCGTCGACTGGAGCCCCACTTCCTCCTCCGCAGAAGGATGCCTCTCTCCAGCCCCCCGAGCGCCTGGAGCACCGGCTGAAGCACTCGGGGAAGCGGAAGAGGGGGGGCTCCAGCGGGGCCGCCGGGGAGCCGGGGGACAGCTCCGATCGGGAGCCCGGCCGGCCCTCCGGAGATCGCGCCCGAAAATGGCCCAATAAGCGGAGAAGGAAAGAGGTGAGTTTGTCCTCCTGGGTCCCTGCGCTTTAAAACTCTGGGCGGAACACCCTTCCCTAGACCCGCTTTCCAGTAACCAGCCACTGCCCTTGTGAACAGCGGTGGCATCTCCCGGACAAAGATGAGGGCAGAGCCAGCGGGGGGCCTTCTCCCCTCCAGGTCCCACAGACCGTGCCCCAGGGCTGCCTGCTGCTGGCGGCACAGGACCCGGTTGGGTCATAAATGAATGAGATCGGTCTCTGCCCCCCTCGAGGGGGTGGCAGGCTGGTGGGAGAGAAACAACCTGCAGGCAAACACCTACACGGAACCCAGAGGAGCCCAGGAACCCACGGGAGGAAGCCACTCGCTCTGCCCGGGGCTGGGAGAGGCTGTGGTTAGGGAAAGCCCCCTAGGACGTCTTAGTCAGGCCTTGAAGAATAGTCATAAGTTTTGCTCAGAGGAGAAACCGGGCAAAGTTGTTTTGGACAAAAGCACAGAGATAGGAGAGTCTGGTATGTTTGGACAGTGGCCAGAGCGTGGGGAACGGGTGGGCAGGAGCAGCCGAAGCAGCTAAAAGGAAATGGAGAGTAGGTGACGGGGGCCCTGGGCGCCTTGCTGGGGAGTTCAGACCTGATCCAAAGGCCTCCCAGGCAGCTCCCTTACTCTGGACTCTGGTCTTCCTCAGGTCTCCTCCCGTCACTCCCTGGAAGCCGGATACATAGTAAGTGCCTCCGCCTGGACTGGTCCCGCCCCGGACTCTGAAAGCCCCACTTGGTTTGGGCCCACTCCTCTCCCCTTTGGTGACTCCTGTCTCTCTCTCCCCAGTGTGATGCGGAAAGCGATCTGGACGAGAGGGTGAGTTGGGCCAGAACTGGTCGGGTGGGCGGGGGTACAGCTTATCAAATGAACTGCAGCCTGGCGGCTCTGTGTGCAGCAGACAGCCTCCCCTTGGGTGGGAAGTGTGAGTGAGTTGAGCCAGGATTGGATTTTTGGGAGGAGGGGGGTGGGTTGAGAGTCATGACTTCTTTTCCTTGGTGACTAGAGCCAGGTGACCGGAGAGTAGACGGCCCCTGCCTTGCGCCATCATTTCTGAAGCCCTTAGACCAGTGGTTCTCCACAGACATTCAGCGTGGCTCTGGAGCAGGCTGGCCCTTCCTCCTGGCCATTCGACTTTAATAACGAGAGTCTCAGCAGAGACTGTGGCCATGGCATTGAGGCTCCTAAACCATCGTAGTCAGTGTAGGGACACGCACTATAAAGGTGTATTTCAGTTTATTAATAAGGCTGATCTGCTTATTTTGAAATAGTGGATCCTAGCAGTTGGGACTCTACCCCTATCACTAACTAAATTTGTACTCCCTGATGTGTCTTGTTTTAATTTTTAAAGTTGGCTGGACAGGGACTGTGATGAACCAGAGAGTTCTTATCCATTTAAAGGGGGCAGCCACTCTCTAATACTAGCTCATTGTTGCCATGTGAGACCAGGGGCCCATTCTCAAGAGAAGCTGCAAGTCTGAATTTTTATGAGGAATCTGGATTTCTAAATACCAGCAATGCGTTTGTAATTTTTGCTAAAACTTATGAACCAGACAAATAAACCAGGTAGGCCTATTGGCCAGCAGTTAGTGATACCTTTTTGTTTTTATTTCCTTGCTTCTCTGCTTTTTTAGTGCTGCCGCCATTTAGGCCTCCTGGTCTATCAGATTCTTAGGCTCAGCTGCTCCACCTCTTTCCTCAAGCATAGGCCCCTAGAGCAGCGGTCGGGTCGCCCACAGGTGGTCTGCGGACCACTGGTGTCCGTGAGGTCCGAAAGGTTGGCGACCGCTGCCCTAGAGCAGGGGTCCTCAAACTACGGCCCGCGGGCCACATGCAAATACAAATATTGTATTTGTTCCCGTTTTGTTTTTTTTACTTCAAAATAAGATATGTGCAGTGTGCATAGGAATTTGTTCATAGTTTTTTTTTAAACTGTAGTCCGGCCCTCCAACGGTCTGAGGGACAGTGAACTGGCCCCCTGTTTAAAAAGTTTGAGGACCCCTGGCCTAGGGTATAGTCTCTGATGGATTTCAGCTGAGGTGATGGAATAGACTTGCCACCACTGCCAGTTCCTAGTAGGCTCAGAAGTTGTTGGCCTTCCTGGGTAAGGGCTTGGCCTAACCGGAACCTGACCCTGTCCCTCCCCTTCTTCCCCAGGTCTCCGACGATGACCTCGACCCATCCTTTACTGTTTCAACCAGCAAAGGTTGGTTCCAAGGGCTGGGGCTGGAGACAAGGGGGGGAATTGGGGTAAGCGTGGGTCTTAATCCAATGTTCGCTGTCCTGCCCTCACAGCCTCGGGCCCTCATGGCGCCTTCAATGGGAACTGTGAAGCCAAACTCTCCATAGTCCCTAAAGTGTCGGGCCTGGAGCGGAGCCAGGAGCAGCCCCCAGGGCCCGATCCGCTGCTAGTGCCTTTTCCCCCGAAGGAACCACCACCTCCACCAGCCCCTCGGCCTCCTGTCTCACCCCCTGCACCCCTGCCGGCCACCCCCAGTCTGCCACCCCCACCCCAGCTGCAGCTTCGGGTCTCACCCTTTGGCCTCCGCACTTCTCCCCATGGCAGCAGCCTGGACCTCAGCACTGGCAGGTGAGTGGTCTAGGGGTTTGGTCTGGTCTGGAAAGGCCTGGTCCTTTTGGCGGTAACCCCTGCGTTCTGTGGCTGGGACATGGGAGAGTACCTTGGGGATATGATTTGAAAAAGGATTCTGAGACTGAAGAGTTTGAAAGACACCGGGTGACACAAACTTAAAGAGGTGACCACAGAACTCATCAGAACGCTTTACGCATTCACATGCAGGGGAATCCAGTTTGTGCCGCTGCTCAGTCTATGTGCTGGTGAGACCTCTTTGCCAGGCACCTCTGCTGGAACTAGTGTTCGTAGGACATACTTTGGGAAATGCTGTCATGATGATTAAGAGTGCTGGCGTTGGTGTCAGTCAGACCTGAATTCAAATTCTTGCTCTGCCACTTCCTGGCTGTGTGATGTTCGAGAAGTCACTTAACCTTTCTGAGCCTCAATGACCCTTTCTGTAAAATGAAATAATAATAGTACCTTCATCGTAAAGCTGTTGTGAGAATTGTGAGTTAATGCAGTGTTTCCCAAAGTGTGTACACTCATCATTAGTGATGTGTGAGATCATTTCAGATGTCATGTGAGCACATTTTTCTCAGTTTGTACGTGCTTTAGAAAAATATGACTAGTATCTCACTCCTTGATTTCACACATTGTGGCTTGGGTGAAGCTAAGTTAAAAAGGAAAACTGAGTTATGTTAAAGAAGGAAAAGGTACAGGTGGTTACATGGATGCAGCAGCGATTGGGAAGGTGGTATGAAATGTTGGAGACTTGGGTTAGCGTATAAAACAAGTGACAGCACTTGGCCTACAGTAAGTGCTCACTGAAGGGTAAGAGTTATTGATACTATTATTATTCACGCTATCTCTGTTATTGTCATCACTGTTATTTCTTTTCTTATTGAGAAAACTAAGGCTCAGAGAGGGGCAGTGACTTGCTCAAGGTCACCCAGGACGTTCATGGCAAGCTGGACCTAGAACTCCTAGGTCAGGCCAGCAGGGTGCTGCTTCCACTGTCTTAGGAGGGTAGGGACCCAGGTGGCCTGTTGTAATTAAGCGTCAAAATGAATGATATGTTTTGTGCTGTGGTTGAATCAGAAAAGGGAAAGTCATGTGGCCGAAGACATCAGAGGCAGCTGTGTGGAAGATGAGCCCTAGAGAGGGGAGAGGGGGTTGTCGGTGGTGGGAGGTACCTCAGTCTGAGGATGGGTTCCTTGGCGGGGGTGGACATCCTGGGGGCCGGGTTCTACCACCTTCCATGTTGGAGAACCAGGGTCAAGGTATCGCCCAGGCTTCTGACCCACTCCTGTCAGAGCTGGCACCTCCCAACCCCTCACTCATTTCCCCACTTCTCTCCCCAGCTCTTCACGGCCGCCCCCCAAGGCCCCGGCCCCTCCCGTGGCTCAGCCTCCCCCCTCATCATCCTCTTCGTCCTCTTCCTCCTCATCTGCCTCCTCCTCGTCCGCGCAGCTCACCCACCGGCCCCCGACGCCCTCACTGCCCCTACCTTTGTCCAACCACAGCTTTCCTCCCCCTGGGCTGCGGCCCCCCCCACCACCCCACCACCCCTCCTTGTTCTCCCCTGGCCCCACCCTGCCCCCACCCCCACCCCTGCTGCAGGTGCCAGGGCACCCTGGGGCCTCAGCTGCTAACGCCCTTTCTGGTGAGTTTGGGGTCCTGGCCGGGGGGTGGGGGGCAATGACCCTGGGCTTGGGCCCAGTTAGCTTTGGGGCATTTGGACCTTAGCAGACTGCAGGGCTTGAGGAGGGAGTGGCTCAAGGCCAGAAGGGAAGGCCAGCCACCCGGGCCCAAGGAGGCTGACAGGTGGCGACAGATGTTAAAGCCTTCTCCCCTCCCCTCCCACAGACCAGGACCTGATCGGCCAGGACCTGAACTCTCGCTACCCTGAGGTGGTGGGGGCAGGGGGCTCAGCCCGGCCCCTGGCCTTCCAGTTCCACCAGCACAACCACCAGCACCAGCATACCCACCAGCACACCCACCAGCACTTCACCCCTTACCCCCCAGGCCTGCTGCCACCCCACGGCCCCCACATGGTGAGCTCCTCATTGGGCCGGCGATAAGGCTCAGAGGCTTGCGGGGAGGGTCTGGCTTCAGGGGAAGGCCCGGGTCTCTGGCTAGCAGCTTACTCTTCCCTTCTCTTCCCTAGTTTGAGAAATACCCAGGAAAGATGGAAGGCCTTTTCCGGCATAATGTGAGTGCATGTGTGTGGTGTGTGGGCGTAGATGCGTTAGTGCGTGTGACCCTAACTGTTGGGGGTCCAATCTTCAGCTTCAAAAGCAAGAGCCTTAAGCTCCCTGGGGGGCTTTAGGGTGGAGGCCAGAGGACTGACGGGCAGACCAGACGTGGGCTGCACCTCCACCCCCAGTTTGGACTAGTCCCATTCTCTCCACAGCCGTACACGGCCTTCCCTCCCGCAGTGCCCGGCCTCCCTCCGGGCCTCCCGCCGGCTGTCTCCTTTGGCTCCCTGCAGGGGGCCTTCCAGCCCAAGGTGAGCTCCCAATCTAGACACTGTCACCACCCCCACCCCTTAAAACCCAAACACCTCCAGGTCCACATACCTCCTTCCCATTCTCCAAACCATGCCCATCTGCCCTCCCCGTGTGGCCCCGTTTCCCTAAAGCCATCGTTCCTCCCTGTCCCGGTCCCCAGCTTGGTGACAGACACCTTTCTGCCTAGTGCTGGCTCTCCTGACTGTTCTCCACTCCCCTTTCCCAGAGCATGAACCCCGAGCTGCCACCACGACTGGGGCCAATGCCAAGCGGGCTTCCCCAAAAGGGGACACAGGTGAGGGGGCCAAGGCAGGTCCTGCTGGAATTGGAAGGTCTGTTGAGTAGAGCAGGGTTGACTTGAGCATGAATCATTGGCTGATCCCTCCTGTTGATACATGTTGGGGGTGTTGCTGAGAGTATGATGTGAGCGAATTTATGTAAATGACAGGATTTCCCAGGCATGAGGAATGGGAATTTCATGAACTTGCCCGAGAAATAAGATTATTAGGGCAGTGGTTTCGATTTTTTTTTAAGTTACAAAACTTTTTCTCCCCAAAATGACATCATACCAGGAAGTCCTGTCTATAAAACAGTGAAAAGATAAGCTGTCCCTTTGTGAAGTGGCACAAGGTGACCAAGCCTTCCCTCCCACTTAGGGCCCAGGGCTCTGGGAACCGTGAAAAAACACAGGATGTATTTCCTAAAGGACAGATTAGACCAGAGGTTTTCCAAACTCTCAGCAGTAATAAAGGCTTTTCTCTAAAGAAAGCTTTAACAGGCCCTCACATAAAGCTACTAACAGGACATCTTCTGTTGAGAAGTCATTCTGCCTGCCCACTAACCACTCCCAGTCTCCCAAGCAAAGCGTCTTCTTGGAGCCTGGTCAGGACCTTGGTGCTGGAGGGGAGAGGCTCAGAGTGGGAGAGGTAGGGAAAGGAGTCTCACCACCAGCAGGAAAGGATTCAGGGTGTCACACAGGGTCTCAAGGAGATGTTTGGGGGCGGGTTTGGGGGCTGCGGAGATGAGATGCCAGGTCAGTAAACAGGTCTGAATCGCCACCAATCTGCTTTGCCATCCCCAGATCCCTGACCATTTCCGGCCACCTTTGAGGGTGAGTGTGGTGAAGACCTCAGGCTGCATGAGGCTGGGGCTGGTGTCAGGGTGTTTGGCTGAGGGGTGGGGGAGGTCATGCTTGAGAATGAGTGAGAAATCCAAGACATGGAGGCAGCCAGATGTGGAACAGCAGAAAGAGAAAGGACTGTAAGCCAGAGACCTGGGTTCAGATGTAACTGGTCATGGGACGTTGGGCAAGACAGTTCATCTCTCTGAGCCTCAGTTTCCTAGGCTGTGAAATGGACTTAGTCACCCTCATTTGTAGGGATGATAAGAGGAGATGATGTGTGGCAAGTCTGGGCCCAGGGCCAGGCCTGGAGTGGGTGACGAGTGAACATTCTTTCCTTCCCTTTCCCTTTGGTCATCCTTCTGGGGCGGCAGAAACCAGGGAAGTGGTGTGCCATGCACGTGCGCGTGGCTTACATGATCCTGAGACACCAGGAAAAGATGAAGGTACTGGGGCCGGAGGGCTGGGGAGAGCGGGCCTGCCTGAACTCTGGGGGTCTGCCTTCTGCAGAGCTTGGCAGAATCTTGGCCAGAAACATCCCATCCCATCTCTGGTCACTGCCTTAGCAATTCCAAATTAGCACTAGGTTCTCTGGCTAACTAGACGGGTGGTCAGAGAAGGCACTCAGTCCCCATCTTGGCGCCAGGCAGCCCTTGGAGGGGGTGTAGGGGTAGAAGAGCAAGAGGACAAATCTGGCTCCTCACTCACTGCCCCTCTCCCTGTCCCATGCAGGGCGACTCCCACAAGCTTGACTTTCGGAACGACCTCCTGCCCTGCCTTCCGGGGCCCTATGGGGCCCTGCCCACTGGCCAGGAGCTCTCCCACCCGGCTGCCTCCCTCTTCACTGCAACTGGTGAGTCTGGCCAGCCCTCTTGGGGCCTAAGGTTCCCATATATAACCCAAGGCCCACCTTACGCCCACTCAGCCTCATCAGAATCTCCCACCTCTCTGCCCCAGGTGCCGTCCACGCTGCAGCCAACCCCTTCACGGCAGCTCCCGGGGCCCATGGACCCTTTCTGAGCCCCAGCACCCACATTGGTAAGAGCCAAGGGCATGTTGGGCACCTCAGGCCTTATCTGTGACTTCCAGGAATTCTCAAGCTGGGGATGGAAGTTAGACCCGAAAGGCAGCTGAAGTGGGGGTAGATCTGGTTCCACTTGCTCTGTGACCTTGGGCAAATTACTCTACCCTCTCTGAGCCTTGATTTCATTGCCTGTAAAATGGGATAGGAAAGGGCATAGTGATTGCTCATCTCTGCCAGCCCAGATAGTCTCTGAAAGAACAGCCAGTGGTAAAGGGTATGTGCCACCTGGGAGAGGAAGGTGGGGGAAGGCTGCACAGCCCCAGGCGAGCATGGTCGCTGGTTCCCAGCCGTCTCAGGCAGGCTGTTGGGGGAGATTTCGCCTGGGTTCGGGTGGACAAGGAGGATGTGAGCCTGATGGCATAGGGCAAGGTGTTCCTGGAAGAGGAAATTGTGAGCTCCCATAGGGGTAAGGTTCGTTGTTCTGACTGGCGATGGGACCTGTGCATGAAATTAGGGTCAAGCTGGGAAGGGCTCTGCATGTCAGGTGGGAGGAAGCCGGCAGAGGTTTCCAGGTAACTGGCTTGCTGTGGAGCTGGTATGGGTGGCTGGTGTGGGGCGTGCGGGGTGCACGCTTGACCTCTGGAGTCAGAGAAGCCCTGGGTTGACTGTTGGCAAGTCACTTCACCTCTCGGAGCTTGTTTCATCGCCTGTAAGTGGGAGTGATCCTAGCTGCCTCGTCGGGCTTGTGAGGTTAAACAGTACTGTGCATGTCAGAGCTCACTGCCTAGCCTGGCCCAAGGGAGTGCCGAGCACCAGGTGGTTAAGGTTAAGACAAAGCAGCCGAGGGCTTCGGGGCCTGCTTGCTGATCTGCCTCTTCCCTGTCAGTTCTTGGTGGCTTCTCAGAGTGGGCGGCTCGATGCTCTGACCACCCTTTTCTCCTGCAGATCCCTTTGGGCGTCCCACAAGCTTCGCCTCCTTGGCTGCCCTCTCCAACGGGGCCTTTGGAGGCCTGGGCAGCCCCACATTCAGTGAGTCCTGGGTAGGGTGGGTAGGAGGCTGTGGCAGTGGGTTAATGTGCTCCAGCAGGAGGGGGGCGGGGTGCCTGATTGGGGCCTCCCGCTCCTGGCTCCTGTCACTCTCTACTTTGCCCTCTGTCTAGACTCCGGCGCCGTCTTTGCCCAGAAAGAAAGCCCAGGGGCCCCACCAGCCTTCGTCTCCCCCCCAGACCCATGGGGTCGCCTGCACCGCAGTCCTCTGGCCTTTCCTGCCTGGGTCCGGCCCCCTGAGGCCGCCCGGACACCAGGCTCAGACAAGGAGCGGCCTGTGGAGCGGCGGGAGACTTCTATCACCAAGGAGGAGAAAGACAGGTATGCTTTCCGCAAACTGCCCGCCGCCCGCCCCCCCCAACCTCACCCTCAGCCTGCATCTGACCTCTGACCTCTGGAGTACCTTTATTCTCTCCCCCCACACCTGCCCCCAGGGACCTCCCCTTCTCACGGCCCCAGCCCCGAGTATCTCCTGCTACTCCCAAGGCCCGGGCTGGTGAGGAAGGGGCCAGGCCAGCCAAGGAATCGGTGCGGGTAAAGGAAGAACGGAAAGAGGAGGCTGCTGCTGCCGCTGCTGCTGCCACCGGGCCTCAGGGCCTTCACCTGCTGTTTGAGAGGCCCCGGCCACCCCCCTTTCTGGGCCCTGGTCCTCCAGAGCGCTGTGCTGGCTTTTTGGATCCAGCCTGGTTGGCAGGGCCCCCTCGCCTTGCAAGGCCACCCCGCTTCTATGAGGCGGGAGAGGAGCTGACTGGACCAGGGGCAGTGACTGCTGCCCGCCTGTATGGTCTGGAGCCTGCCCATCCCCTGCTATACAGCCGCTTGGCTCCTCCACCACCGCCTACTGCGGCCCCAGGAACCCCTCACCTTCTCAGCAAGACCCCACCAGGAGCCCTTTTGGGGGCACCGCCTCCACTTGTGCCCGCCCCCCGGCCTAGTTCCCCACCTAGGGCCCCTGGCCCAGCCCGGGCTGACAGGTGAGGGGAGGGGAGGGGCAGGGGCAAAGCTCCATCCCCCTTTCCTTTTGATAAGATCCTAGAGCTGAGGTTTTAAGCCAGGGCTGGAGGGCAAAGGTCGAGACCTCACCAGCCATCTCTGAGGTCATGGAATCTGAGAACAGAGCCCCAACCCCCATGAGATCAAGCATCAGATGAACCTTGGGGTCATTGGGAGGGCAGAGGTCACACACTTCTAGAGAGGGGTGTGTGTGTGTGTGTGTGTGTGTGTGTGTGTGTGTGTATGTGTATGTGTGTGTCTGTACACATACATATGAGAGTGGGGGTCACTTCAGAGGTCATAGCTCATAGATCTCCTGAGGTGCACCATCGCCCCTGAGGGCCCCTAGGCCCTTGGCCTGCCTCCCCAAGGGCTCACTAAGCCAGAGGCCAAAGTGCCCCCTCCCCTTCACCTACCACCCAAGTCCTCATGCCCTCTCAGGGTTGGGGGAGGAGGGGCTAAAGGAAGGGGAGTTCCATGTACATATTTATCTCCCCTTCCACATAGCCCCCCAGACCTTTTGTACATTTTTACAGGGGTGCCCCTCCCAATAACCCCCCCTTCCTGGTTAATTAAATCCTCAGACTGGTGCTGTGTTCCTAGCCTCTGGCCTCTCTGTGGGGGGAGGGGAGTTGCAGGGGGAAGAGCTGGGAGGGGACAGGCAGGCCCAGGGCTTATCCCTAGGAATATGGGGTCCAGCAGGAAGTGGACCAACAGGGGAAGGGACCTGGTACCTAGGCTGGAAAGAAGTGCAAATGCTTCCTGCTTGGCTGACAGCCCAGGTTCCCCCCACTTGTTCCTGTTACCTCTGTGTGCCCCAGCCCCAAAAGGCTCAACCTTTAAGCTTCAGAGTCTACTTCTTTCTTAGTGGCTCAGTGCCCCCACTCCATTTCCAAGTGCCCCCAGGACTCCTGGGCCCTGCTCTCTAGAGCCTGTTCCCAGAGCCCTGCCCCAGGCTACGGAGGGCCAGAGAAGGTCACCATGTACCACACACCAAAGAAGGGGGTCCGCTTGGGGTGGGCCACACAGGCAGCTTCCTGAGCAGCCTCTGGGCAGCAGCCTCAGCCTTCCCAAAGCGGCAGGTGCCCCCGGGCTGGGGCCCAGCCTCGAAGGCGGGGGTCAGTTTAACAAAAACATAATGTTGACTTTTTTCCCAGGTGGGGCTTATTCTGTAACATGACTTGCGGATATTTATATAAAAATGAGTGTTACAATGAGGCCCCTTGGCTCCTCTTTCGGCGTGTGTCACCTGGGGTTGGGGATTGGGCTGGATCCTGGAGTCGGGCTGGGGGGTGGTTGTGAAGATAATACTGTCTGTGTCCTGACAAAGGTTTTCCCCTCCCTCCCATCTGGGAGAGTTCTACTTCTGGATGGATGGATTGGGGTGTTGGGCACTGGAGTTTTTCACTTTTTTTTGACATCCCAGGAGTACATGTTAAATAAGATTCAAACACCACGAAAGAGACAAAACAATTTCCTATACATCTGCCAACCCACACAAGCCCCACACATCCAGCAGTAACCACTGTCAGCATTTGGCATATGTTCTTTAGGCACCTTTACTGTGTGTTTACCTGCACATATATGTGCATACATGGTTATGTTAGAAAATACCTATGTTTTAAAAATTTTTTAGACATGATCATTATTAATTCAAACCCAGAATACGCAGTACCAAGGGAGAGTGCCTCATAGCCCCACCCCTCAGAGATGCCACTGTTGATAGTTGGTATATTCCTCCAGTTCTCTCTAATATGTGCTTAAAATGGAATCCTGTGAAAGGTACTATTTTGTAACTACCTGTTTACTCTTAACATTATTCTTTGATGTAATCATTAAAAACAAGTAACTGAGAGGCTGGCTCCCATTCAAGCCACCCAGAATGGGCTTGCTCCAAGTGAACCCATCTCCGTAGAAAAGATGCTTCTATCCAACGTCTCTGATCCACTACACATACCCTAGACTTCTAGGGTAGACTCAAGCCTAGATTGTTCCAACAGAAATCAGAAACAGGTGGCCAGGAGAAACTTGGCCTTCAGACAAGGTTTCACATGGCAACCCTTGTTTTCCGTTTCTGAAAAATCAGCTTGCCTGCTTCCCCTATGACTGTCCCTTGAGGTGGGGCACGATCTCTCCAGATGGCCACTGTCCCATCCACTCCATTTTTAGGAATGGGCCATTGTCACTCTTCAGGGTACTGCCCTGGTCCCTATAAGCACTCTCAGTGAAATATCTGCCTGTGTGTACCCTCCCTCTCCTAGATCTCTCCCATGGACCTCAGATATCCCTTAGACCTGGTACTGTGCTCCCCACCCCACTTGCATCTCTGCAAATGTTACCAGCACCCAAGTCAGAAACCTCCCTGTTAACTCACCTGATTCACTGAACTGCCCTTTATTATTCCAACCATGTTCACTTCATCGTTCCAGGAACTGAACTAGTGGCTGGGGATACAGAGGTAAACAAAACAAAATTCCAGCTTTCCTGGAGCCTAAAAGCTACTATGAGAAGAGCAACAGACATACTGTGAGAAGAAAAAGAGGGAGCGGGAGAAGGAAAAAATCCGAAGGGCTGCCTTCTTAGGGCCTGTGCTTGCAGCCACTATGTTCCATTGGTTCATCTCCACGCGTTCTGATCCTAATGCAGGCAGAGGTCAAAGAAAAGTCTGGAAATGACTTCCATCCTGGGGGAAGCAAAACCAAACCCAAATCATTCACCATCAAGAGGCTGCTATTTGGAAATGTGGTTCTTTCAATGAGCTCAGCAGAGTAGCTATGTACCCTTAAGCAATGTGCTTATTTCTGTGCCATGGTTTATTTGTAAAATGGGTTTTTAAAAAACAGCTTTATTGAGATCATTCATTCATAGGCCATACAATTCACCCAATCTTTTCTGACTGGCTTCTTTCACTTAGCTTTATTTGTTTCAGGGTTCATCCATGTTGTAGCTTGTATCAGTACTTAATTTTTTTTGTTTATTTGTTTTATTTTTGTTAATTCTCACCTGAGGATATTTTTCCATTGGTTTTTAGAGAGAGTGGGAGGGAGGGAGGGTGAGAGAGAGAAACATTGATGTGAGAGACACATAGGTTGCCTCCGGCACTCTCCCTGACCGGGGCTGGGGATTGAACCTACAACCCAGGTACATGCCCTTGATCAGGAATCGAGCCCACGACCCTTCGTGTGAGGGCCAATGCTCTAACCCAGGGGTGGGCAAACTTTTTGACTCGAGGGCCACAATGGGTTCTTAAACTGGACCGGAGGGCCGGAACAAAAGCATGGATGGAGTGTTTGTGTGAACTAATATAAATTCAAAGTAAACATCATTACATAAAAGGGTACGGTCTTTTTTTTTTTAGTTTTACTCATTTCAAACAGGCTGGATCCGGCCCGCGGGCCGTAGTTTGCCCACGGCTGCTCTAACTGCTTAGCAGCACCGGCCTGGTGGTACTTAATTTCTTTTTATTGCTAAATATTCCATTGTATGGACAAGACCACATTGTGTTTGTCCATTCTTCAGTTGATGGGCACTGGGTTGTTTCGACGATTAAGGATAATGCTACCGTGACTGTGTTTGTACAAATGCATGTTCTTAATTCTCTTAGGTATGTACCTTGGGATGGAATTGCTGGGTCATATGTTTAACATTTTAAGGAGCTGCCAAACTAATTTCCAAAGTGGCTGCATTCCCTCCAAAATGTATGAAGATGGAGTTTTAATGGTTTCTCCTAGCATTACTGTATGAATTCACTAAGTTTATAAGCACAAAGTTCTTAGTACAGTGCCTTGCACAGACTAAGTGCTCATGGAATTATTGCTGTCATTACTGGTGACGCCTTCCTCATCCGAAAGTCGAAGAAGCAGATCTTAAGAGCTCGATTAGGGAGAATGCTTACTTATAAGCAGTTGGGGGGGGGGGCATCTTTCAAAACCGGCTTTGAGGTGGGCAGCATCTGTCTATGGGCACAGAAGAAGGAAGGAGGAGCCCGAGCCAGTGAAAAACAGAGGTTCAGAGCCTTTCTTTTACATCAGACAGGCCAGAGTGAGTTTGGCCTTCACTGACCAGCTCTGTGACTTTGGTCTAGTTGCAGCCTGTTTCCATGGTGGACAAACAGGGAAAATGACAATCCCAGCCCACAGGGTCATTGTGATGGTCACACGGGATAATGCATGAAAAGGGTGCTTAGCACAGAATTCAGTACCCAGTGGAAATTCACTAAATTAGAGTGTTGTTACTGATTGTAGTTGGAAAGATTAGAAATAATCCCCTATTCCAAAATAGGCAAATTGAAATTCAGAGAAGTTAAGTGACTTACGGAGTCAGGAGAAGAAAGGAGACACTTGGGGAGGAAGTTAAAAATAAGCTCTATTATTTAGGACAGTTTTAGATTTCCAGAAAAATTACAAGGATATTATAAGAGTTCCTATATGCCCCACACTCAGTTTTTTTCTATCAACATCTTGCATATGTTACAGTTAGTATTGCTGCATTGTAATGAATTTAAGTCCATACTTTATCTTGATTTCCTTAGCTTTTAGCTAATGTCCTTTGTCTGTTCCAGGACCTCATTACATTTAGTCATCATGTCTCTTTAGGCTCCTTTTAACTGAGTTTTCCAGACTTCCTTTGCTTTTTATTATCTTGCCAGTTTTGAGTACTGGTCAAATATTTTTACTGAATTTATTGGGGGTGACATTGGTTCACAAAACCATACAGATTTCAAGTGTACAACTCAAGGAAACATCTGCACATGGCATTGTGTGCCCATCACCCCAAGCATAGTCTCTTTCTGTTGCCTGGTCAAATATTTTCTAAAATGTCCTTTACTTAGGATTTGTATGTTTTTCTTAGGATTCGACAAGTTATGGGTTTGGGGAGGAAGCAAAGGTAAAGTGCCATTTTCATGACATCGTATCAAGGGTACGTACCTTCAAGACGATTTATCGCTGTTGATGTTGACCTCAATCACCTGGCTGAGGCAGTGCTTGTCAGATTCTACTGCAAAATTACTCTTTCCCCCTTCTTTCCGTATTCTGTTCTTTGGAAGGCAGTCACTGTGCACAGCCCATACCACAGGAGTGGGGAAATGATGCTCCACCTCCTTGAGAGCGGAGTGTCTGCATAAATTATTTGGAATTCTTCTGCATGACGAATCTGTCTTCTCCATTTGTTTATTTATTCAGTCACTTATTTAAATTATGACTATTCATGGATATTTATTTTATACTTTAGGTTAAACTCCAGTAGTACTTTATTACTCTCCAGTTTTCAGGTAGTTCCTGTGTCCCTCTGACATACCCCCATCATTGTGGGGTGGGGTTTTTTGTTTATTTAGTTTTTTTAGCAGAGACTTACTTTTTACTGCTTATCCTTTTACTAGAGGCCCGGTGCATGAAATTTGTGCATGGGTGCGGTCCCTAGGCCTGGCTGGCAATTGAAGCGTAAGCATCTGGTGTGGAAGGGCAGGTCCCAGCTGACCTCTGGGCCCTGGGCAGCACCTGGGCCCCTGGGCCCCCGTGCGGCCCCTTCTGCCTGAGTCATTGGGCCCCCGCCTGGTTCCCTCAGCCCCCGGGAGCCGGGCAGCGGCCCTGCCCCCAACTGCTGCCGCTGGTCGCCATCTGCTGGGCAATCAGCGGGGCGATCGGGCCCCACTTGCACCTGCCTTGGCCTGGCACTGCCTGCTCACCTGCTCCACCATCTCGCCGCAGTCCTGCTCTCATCAGGGCCTTTCCAGGCCAGCAGCACCTCCACTGCCGCCGCTGCCAGCACTGCATCACCGACGCCCACCATGTTCCACACTGCCCCCCTGGTGGTCAGTGCACATCATAGTGAATGGTTGAACTCTTGGTTGAACTACCGGTCAAGGGGACAATTTGCATATTAGGCTTTTATTATATAGGATATCTCGGGGTTTTTCTCTTATGTGCTGTTGTTAAAAGTTAAAAACAGCAGCTAGCCCTAACTGGTTTTGCTCAGTGGATAGAGCGTCGGCCTGGGGACTGAAAGGTCCCAGGTTTGATTCTGGTCAAGGGCATGTACCTTGGTTGCGGGCACATCCCCAGTGGGAGATGTGCAGGAGGCAGCTGATCAGTGTTTCTCTCTCATCGATGTTTCTAACTCTCTATCCCTCTCCCTTCCTCTCTGTAAAAAATCAATAAATTATATATGTTTTTTAAAAAGCAGCTAATGTAATTAACAGTAAAAGTTCCTAGTTGTCT